GCGTCGGTGGGAGAGTATAACAGGGTAATCTAATGTTGTCAACTTAGTTGAAAACGTAAATTGGCCACCTTAAAGAGTTTAAAGGCTGACGTTTCGAGCGTTAGTCCTCAGTCAGAGCGATACTGATGACCCTTACTCGAGGGTCTCAATGTGTTGATTGGTTTTACTTTTAATGGTTAAGCTTTGGCCTATTTACGGTTAACGGTTTAAATTTGCCAATTTTATACGCCTAACGGCTGAATTTTTGACCGTTTTACTCCTAACGGTTAACCCATCGAGATCCTGCTTTTTAGTTTGACGTACCACCTCCATCACTTGTCTGGTCGCAGTACACTGGGAATGAGTCTGATCCATGGTTGGAAATTTCGTAGACTCCTGTTTTCTTTGGGGTTTGGGAACAGTTCTGAGGCAGAATGACTGGAAAAATAAAATTAGAAAAGATTCCTATATGAGTCCTTGCACACGATGCAGAGATCTATAGGTCTCTCTGCTGTACTAGACTGTCCTGGCATTCTCATTTTACAAATCGGAAACGAAATGAGTGGCTTTTTTGGCAGTCTAGATGAAAATGTATTTTCATCAAATTCCAATACTTTTTGTGTAAAGCTTTTATATATGATTTCGATAATTTGGCACGAGTGACTCCCTCACTACAAGTCGTAACATAATAACTCTTGTTCTCTAAATCGCAATGAGTCGGTTCGGGATAACCAAAAACATACTAAATTGTGTTAGAAGTTAATGATTCCCCAAACCGCAAAACGGATTGGCCATCGAAACCTAAGTAAAAAGGAGGTTTTTCGTTATACACAACTAACATATTTAAACATAAAGTCAGTGACTTTGGAGAATTTCGGAAATTTACTTAAGCAGAAAAACAAGAATACCAAGCATAAAAAAGGAGGAATATTTGCATTACTTGATGAAAAAGCTACAAAATACTTTGGTTACAATTCTCTCCCCTGAGTCCTTGTGTACAGACACAACGGTATCCTTTTGAAGTAAACCCAGCTTGACAAGTAGAATTTTTCTGACACGAGCTGCTTCCACAAGGATTCTGCAATTAAAAAAATAGAAAGGACACAGTGCCTTTCCTTTGTTATATGCTAAGAGCACGTGTGCTTCTTGAGGGATTACTATCATTATTACTGCACTTACTGCAGTTATTTTTAAGTCATTTAAGTCGAAAAGCTTTTTAATGACAACAAAAGATTCTTACCTGAAAAGACGAATAGTGATGCGAACTCTTGCTTTCTATGAGTTTAACTTGTTGGAGGACAGTAACGCACACCACTTTTTTCCTTCGGCGGCAAAGTTCACAGAAACGCAAAGAGGATGATCGAGACATTTTAAGATACATTCAAAGTAGTCATATGGTGTAATTACGTCAATTCGGGGTACATTTAGATAATGGAACTTGTCTACTGAAAGTAGATTCTGTCTTGAATTCTGCCCATACTCGGAATCCAAATTAGTATGAGTTTCTGTGGGTTGAAGACAATTACTATAAGAAACGTACTGATTCTTGCAAACTAGAGACTTTAAATGGGAGTAACTGACGTTTTTGGATAGATTCTTTCCTTTTACCCGAGGAAGTGATGAAATTAGTGTTGTTGTTTCTTTTCATATTACGTGTTCACGTTACTGTGGGAGATCCAGTTTCTGTCTTTGCCTTAAAGGTTACTCCGCACCTTCTCGAGTGCCCTCAGAAAAAAAAAAATTTACACGGTATGTTTCTCATGAAACCAAAATAAAGTAAATAACAATAAATAGATTATTAAATGCAGAACACGATAAAACTATTAGCTATTCGACTTTGCCTCCTTGAAGGCAAATGAAGCCGGTCAACAGGAAAATCACCGAGCGCCATTCCAGCGAATAAACTACCGATCAATTCGCTGGAATGGCGGTTAGGTATTGAATTAAGGCCAAATGTTGCGAAATGTTTTCCTTTCTGATTACAGCTGAGGCAGATGTCACGTTTTGACTAAACATCTCATACGCTGTGTTAAAAAACGCGTTTTTTTTCTCGTGGTGAAAAAAAAAAATATGTCAAAGTTTATGAAAGTTTATGATGCCCTAAAAATTAGAGTCCGCTAGAGATTAATCCAAAAAGATAAAAATCGGGGAGGCTTAACTTGCGATAAGAAAGATTTTCTGTTTCATTGGTGGTAAATATCATTAGAAGATGAAAACAGGAAAATGTAAATATATATGTATATGTGTAATAGCCGTAGCTAACTAACGGTTCTGTTTGAAGTTGGAAAACGCATATACAGATGTTACACACCGGCGGGAATTACCTGAACTTGTACCCAAAATTGGCTTGAAAAGCTTTTCTTTTCACCCTTTATCGGAAAGATGATGTTAAATAACATGTTTATGTCAGGAGAGGAACTGCTTGCATTTACTCATAAATACTTTAGGCTATGAGACATCTGCGGAATTGAATGGTAATTTGCATTGAAAATTGTTAACATGTCCGTTTAAGCTTATCTTATTTGTTTTCAAGGCTCTTAAATTCCACGAAAAGCGAAATAATTTCCAATTTGATAAATTCCTTTATTTGTGAGAGTCGAAATTTTGTTTGTAGTA